GTGGACAAATTTGTGAGACACTCTTCTCCAATTAACCAACAAAAAGCTGGAAATGGAGCTGTGGCTCAAGTGGTAGAGTGCCAGCCTTGAGCAAAAAAGCCAAGAAGAGCACAAATCCCTAAATTCAAGTCCCAGTACTGGCACATGCACGCACACACAATCATCAATGGACTAGAATCTACCCCCTGTGGATAGATGCTGGGCTTTGCCATAGACCTTCTAAATTCTTGGGAAGGAAGGATGGGGATGGGACAAAGTAACTATATGGGTGTAAATACATGAATTTCAAAGTATGTTTAAAGTCGAATACTGTTGGTTCATGTCTGTAATCTTAACTATTCAGTAGGCTGAAACTCAAAAGGATCAAGTTTCAAAGTTAGCCCAGGCAGAAAAGTCCCACAGGCTCCATCTCCAATTAATCAGCAAAAAGCCAAGCCAGACTGGGGGCATGATTCAACTGGTAGAGTACCATCCATGAGCAAGAAAGCCAAGCAAGTCCCTCTAGTGACAAAAAAACAAGTAAAAATACACTTTGTAAACGTCTATATGTTATTTATTTTTATATACAATAATTGGCTGTGAGGGTTGAGAGCTCCCAAGGCTGAACATGGCAGTGTCAAAACTTCTCCAAACTTTGGAGCTGAGCTCCAGAATGAGCTCCAGGTGAGGTGGGAGAGAGTCACTAAACCAGTGGAGATGGAAGGGGAGGAGGAAGGAGGGAGGAGAATGGGGGCAGGCAGAGAACAGAAGAGCTTTTTATCCTTTCTTTCCTTTTTATCTTTCTCTTTTTATTCTCTACTCTTTCTCTTCTTTCTTTCTACCTATTTATTTACTGTTTATTTTCCGATGCTAGGACATAAACTCAGGGTCTTGTGCTTGTAGGCACTTACTCTACCAACGAAGCTATCCCCCTTGCCCCAGCCCTTTTGCTTTTATTTTGTTTTCAATACAGAGTAATACTAGGCATTGCAGGGCTAGCCTCTAAACCCAGTGTCCTTCTGCCTCTGCTTACATGAAGCTGGGATGAAAGGCCTGTGACACCTCCACCAACTCTACTATCATATTTACATCAATTGTCAAGAACATATTGCTCCTCAAGACACCCCGAAACAGAGGCTAGGGGCGATATGTTCCAGGACTGGGGGAGAGCTGCACCCCCACATGGAAGGGTTTCCCAATTAGTGTAGCTGAGAACTCTCTCTAGGCAGGGGACCCTGCAGAGAGCATGATGTCCGTTCCAATGGCTAGACCAGGAGAGCAGAGGCAGAGTTATCTCAAAAGAAATAGGTAAAAGGTTTACAGTCAAGCGTGAGATCAAATCTCTAAAAATATAAGAGCAGAGAGGGACCCAAGAGCACTCACTGGCCACAGAGCAAGGAAGGGCAGAGCTTGGCTGAAGATCGCACACATTTACCATACACTAGGAATATCATGTTGGCCAAACACTTTTGGCTCATGCTTGTAATCCTAGCTACTCAGGAGGCTGAGATCTGAAGATCACGTTGCAAAATCAGCCCAAGCAGGAGTCCACAAGACCAATTAACCACTAAAAAGCTAGAAGTGGAGGTGTGCCACAAGTAGTAGAGCACCAAATTTTGGCAAAAAGCTAAGAGATCACACCCAGGCCCTGAGTTCAAGCCCCAGTATACACAAACACACACACACACACACACACACACACACACACCTCATACTATATGATGCTGGTCAAAGAGATTCCCACTATCAACCTAGTAAATCTGCAAAATAAACCCCACTGAAGAAATTTTTGCGAAATCTGAACTTTGTCTATTTGCTTATACTGCGGAATTTCACAGCAGTGATTTGGTAAGTATTAGATACCTGATAAAATGAGGTGAATGAAAGTGCCCTTTGAAGTATGAGCTACTATAATCAGAAGAGGAAATTCAAGAACAAAGAGATTAAGCCACTTACTCAAGATCCAGATTGCTTGCAAGTAATCAGATTCCTGACCTTCCTCCTACCTGTTTTCAAATTCTGTCTAACCAGTTTCTTTACCAGTGTGTGACTGACTTATTTGGAACCTTTCCTGTCATGGCTGTCTGTAGGGATTTGTAGAGCCTACAAGAAATACCTTTGGGACACTGGCTATACTCGCTATTAGCTTTCTAATTTCCCCTAGAGTTCTCCATAGCTGAGCATAAGTCATAAATTTGAATAAATTATATACCTTATTTGCATATTATATGTCAAAGGTGGGAGACACTGAGATTTCCAGAGCTACAGACATGTGGATTTTCACTCTGTTGGAAGTCTTCTGGACCATCAGAATCACAGCTTTCCCATTTGTCTAGCTTGCTTAGTGAAGGTACAAAACACTGCTGTGATGTTGGAGTATGTTCTGCCTTCCAGGCAGCCTGAGAGGAGTCATCTCATGAAGTAGAAACTTAATAGGAAATAAAGGAGTTAGCTATGGTAGTACATGCCTGTGATCCCAGCTACTCCAGGTGGGAGTCAGGAGGATTTAGAGTTTGAAGCCAACCTTGAGAAAGTTCATGAGGCCCTATTTCAAAAGCAAAATGGCAGGAAATATGGCTCAAATTGTAGAGCGCTTGCCCAAACATGAGACACTGTGTTCTGCAAAATAATATATATACCTAAATGTGTGTGTATATACATATACATATATATATATATATATATTCAGAAGACCCAGGGCCCACAGATAGTGTGTTTATATAACTATATAGATATAAATATGTTCATATAGATATAAACATTGCTTAGGAAAAATCTATGCTCTTCTCTAAAGAAGGGGTCCCAGTGGCTCATGTCTGTAATCCTAGATACTCAGGAGGCTGAGATCTGAGGATTGCAGTTCAAAGCCAGCCCAGACAAATTCTGTGAGACTCTTATCTCCAATAAACCACTCAGAAAACCGGAAGTGGCCCAGTGGCTCAAATGGTAGAGCCCTAACCTTGAACTGAGGAGCTGAAGGACAGCTGGTGTTTTTATAGCTATATAAACATGTTTATATAGATATAAAGATCTATACTCTTCTCTAAAGAAAGGGTCCCCTTCTTTACAGGCTCACACCTATAAACCTAGCTACCCAGGAGGCTGAGATCTGAGGATCACTGTCCAAAGCTAGCTGGGTAGAAAACCACTCACAAAAATAAACCACTTACATAACCGGAAGTGACACTGTGGCTCAAGTGGTAGAACACTAGCCTTGAGCTGACGAACTGAGGGACAGTGCCCAGGCCCAGAGTTTAAGCCCCACGACCAGAAAACAAAACAAAACAAAAAAAAAGGCAAAGAAACACATGAGGAAATGTTCATCATCCCTGGCTGTAAAGGAAATGCAAATAAAAACAACCCTGAGATACCATCTTACCCCGGTCAGAATGGCCCACATCCTAAATTCAGCCAATGACAAATGCTGGAGGGGATGCGGAGAAAGAGGAACCCTACTACATTGCTGGTGGGAATGTACACTAATACAACTACTTTGCAATCTGGAGGTACCTCAGAAAGCTAAATATAGACCTCCCCTATGACCCAGCCATTCCTCTCCTAGGCATCTACCCTGAACAACAGGAACCAGTATACAAAGACACAAGCACCTCCATGTTTAGTGCAGCACTGTTCCCAATAGCCAAGATGGAAACAACCCAGATGCCCCACTACTGATGAATGGATCCAAAAATTGTGGTACCTATGTACAATGGAATATTATGCAGCCATTAGAAAGGACAAAATAATGGCATTTGCAGGGAAATGGATGGAACTAGAGAAAATTATTTTGAGTGAGGTAAGCCAAGAACAAAGAGAGAAAAGGCATATGGTCTCCCTGATATGTGGATGCTAAAGCCAAAATCCAAGAAGATATGACAAAGTAAACAGGACTCGAGAAACAAAGGACAGCCACTCATTTTGTTGTATCATTACTAAATGACTCCATGTTCTTGACCATATATATGGTAATATATGCACACAACAGAGGGAAGTCAGGAGGAGGACACAGAATACATGGGAAACAGAACAACATACAACAAAGGGGCCCATCAGCTGACTGGACATAGAAGAGAAAGAACTAAGCAACCCAAAGACAGCGATGGGAAGGAAGGAATGAGACGGAGAGGGGGAATAGCTTACACTAAGTAAAAGGAAAGAAATGTAAACACTGATGTGGAAAAAATAATTTGTATTGTCAAAGCTCATAGAATTCACAAACTTTATAGACGATGATAATGACAATATGCCTTGTGAAGGTTAAAATGTGTTTGTGTCTTTAACTAAGTATCACTATTCCACAATACTGTGAAATAGGTGAAATTTATGTAATCACCTAATCTCAATTAAAAAAAAAAGTGAGGGAAGGGATGGGTTAGGAGCGATGGGTGACAATGTTGTCAGACACCTTGTACTCATATTGTACTCATATACTGTTTTGTAGAATGGGAATTTCTTTGTACAACTACTTAAAGATAGTAATTTTTAAAATGTTTAAAAAATTCTTCAAAGTGGAATTGCAGAAATTCATGTGGATTTAGTAAACAACATGGACTTGCTGGGCACAGGCTCCTCCTAGTGACTGAACTGGAAAAATTTGTAAGATCTTCCAAAGTTGCATTTATTAAAGGTTTATAAACCAAGGGGGGGAATTTACCTGTGATTCAGCAAAGAGCCCCAGGCTCTGAGGTTGCTCTTCAGCCCCAGCCACGCCCTCATCCACCCAGCCACACCCTCACCCACCCAGCCACGCCTTCTTCCCACAGTTAGAGGCTCCCTAGGCTCTGACTTCATTTCTGCAACTGCTGTGGCCACACCTCCTCCTTGCCCTCCACTATATAATCCCTCTCCCCTGCCCTAAACCTTCAGTCTCTTCGCACCTCAGTCACCTGCAAGCTGGTAAGTTTGTCTTTCTTCTAAATAATCTCTTTCCAAAGAAGTCTGTGCAGGGTGTTTTAATTCAAATAGAATTAATTTTCATTCTGAGTTGTACGCTCGCTAGTTCTGCAGTCGCCGCTGCCACCATGGGGAAGCGACAGCACCAGAAGGACAAGATGTACATCACCTGTGCTGAATACACTCACTTCTGTGGTGGCAAGAAGCCAGAGATCCCAAGGTCAAATTTCCGTCGTCTACCTTTTGACCACTGCAGCCTCTCTCTGCAGCCCTTCACCCACCCAGTCTGCACTCCAGAAGGCATCATCTTTGACTTGCTGAATATTTATCCATGGCTTACAGAGTATGGGATCAATCCCAGCAATGGAGAGAAACTTGATACAAAATCCCTGGTCATTCTGAATTTTGCCAAAAACAGTGAAGGGAAGTACCACTGCCCGGTGCTGTTCACCGTGTTCACTGACAACACCCACATTGTGGCTATTAGGACAACTGGCAATGTCTATGCCTATGAGGCAGTGGAACAGCTGAACATCAAGGCCAAGAACTTCCGGGACCTGCTGACTGATGAGCCCTTCTCTCGCCAGGATGTCATCACTCTCCAGGATCCCACCAATCTGGACAAATTTAACATCTCCAACTTCTTTCATGTTAAGAATAACATGAAAGTAACAGACTCAAATAAGGAAAAGGCCAAGCAAGACCCATCTTACTATTTGAAAAACACAAATGCTGAGACCCGAGAGACCCTGAAGGAGCTCTACAAGGAATTCAAAGGGGATGAGATCCTAGCAGCCACCATGAAGCCCCCAGAGAAGAAAAAAGTGGATCAGCTGAATGTTGCCCACTATTCCATGGGGAAGGTCAGTGCTTCCTTTACCTCCACCGCCATGGTGCCAGTGACAACTCATGAAGCAGCTGCCATCGATGAAGATGTGCTGCGATACCAGTTTGTGAAGAAGAAGGGCTATGTACGACTGCACACCAACAAGGGAGATCTCAACCTGGAGCTGCATTGCGACCTGACACCAAAAACCTGTGAGAACTTCATCAAGCTCTGCAGGAAGCACTATTACCATGGCACCATCTTTCATAGGTCCATCAAGAACTTTGTGATCCAGGGTGGTGACCCCACAGGCACTGGCACAGGGGGGCAGTCGTACTGGGGCAAGCCCTTCGAAGATGAGTTCCGACCCAACCTCTCTCACACAGGCCGTGGCATCCTCAGTATGGCCAACTCGGGGCCTAATACCAACAAGTCTCAGTTCTTTATCACATTCCGCTCCTGTGCTTACCTGGATAAGAAGCATACCATCTTTGGACGGGTTGTTGGGGGCTTTGATACACTGACTTTCATGGAGAATATAGAAAGTGACCCCCAAACTGACCGTCCTAAGGAGGAGATCCGTATCCATAACACTACAGTGTTCGTGGACCCATATGAGGAAGCAGATGCCCAGATTGCCGAGGAACGGAAGAAGACACAGCTAAAAGAAGCCCCAGAGATCAAGGTCAAGACCGGCCAATCCCAATCTGGTAGCCAAGGCCCCCAGACATACCGTCAGGGGGTGGGCAAGTACATCAACCCAGCAGCCATAAAACGAGCAGCAGAAGAGCCATCAGCTGCCTCTGAGACCAAGAAAAGGCCCAGACGGGCTTTTGGAGACTTCAACTCCTGGTAGCAGTGGGCTGCTACCCTGGATCTGGTAGGGATGCAGGGATTGAGGGATATGTCCACACCACTGCAAATCCTACCCTTGTTAACTGCCTGACAGGCTCGGATTCAATGAAACCATTGCCTGTTGCCCCATTCCTGGCCCCTGGGAGGCTGTGGTCTCCCCATCCCTCACCCGGGAGGAATCTGGCTCCTTTCTAAGGCTCGAACCCAGCCTTCTGGGTCTGACTTTCCACCTTGCCTGGTGAGCTGGTATCTATAGGAAGGCCAGGATCATTGACAAAAGTTGAGTCCCCACCAGGTTTTCCTGTCCTCTCTTCTGTCATCTTAAGAATGACCCATGTGCTTATTAAGCATGGTCACCTGACCAGTGCCACCACTTAGTACCTTGTTAGAAATACATCTTCTCACCAACTGTGTGCTGAGGTACATGTTTGTAATCCCAGCCCTTGAGAGGCTTAAAGCAGAGATGGAGAGTTCAAGGACATCCTGAACTACGTGGCAAGACCTTATCTCAACAAAACAAAACATCAGGCACTAGATAGAGCTGACCCTAAGGCAGAGCTTAAACACCCGTTGAGTTCTATAAGCTGGTGAGCTTTACAAACTATGTCTAGCTGCTGCCTGTTGCTTGGGTCTGACTTATCCACACTGCTGGCTGCTCCACTTGTCTTCTCTGTCAGCCATACCTGCATGAAGCTAATAGCCCACGTGTGTGTGAACAGCTGAAGAAGAGGCCGCCCTGCTCCAAGTCCAGCCCATCTTCTCTGGCTTGCAAACCATGGCACCAGCTCCTTCCCTTGGCCCTGTGAAATATGTCCAAATCCCTCACCTGCTTCTCAATGCTTGTTGTCCAGCCTCAGTCTGTGTCAGTCCCAATCTCAGGACCTGCTATCTCATCTTCCCCTAAAGGCTTCTCTGGAAGTGTGGGGACAGTGTCATAGCAGTGTTCTGTCTGGCATTAGTCCTACTTGATGTCCAGCCCAGCCCAGGCTCCCTGTTGTCTTTGCATTACCACTCCTTTCTGGTTTGTATCAAATTCTAACTTAAACTTGATCCTTGGTTTTCTCTTTCTCTAAATTCTTGAATTTTCAAAAACTCAAAAGCTCCTGAAAGGGAACAACAAAATGGTGAGACAAAGGACAAGGAGGAAACCAATGCAACAGTGATACCCACAAGACAATATATTGGAAATGATCTGTACAACTTGGGGGGACATAGGGGGAGGGAAAGTGGGAGAAAATGAGGGAGGGGGAAACAAGTTCAACAAGAAATGTACTTATTACCTTATGTAACTGTAACCCCGTACATCACCTTAATAAAAAATAAAAATGTTTGGTTTGTAATTTCCCTTTAAACAAAAAGAGATAGCTTGCATTTTCCATATATCTCTCAATGAATGTACTGTATTACTGTTTTTTTTAAAAATTGATGAAATAATAATGGATTGGTCTTATTTGTTATCTGGTCCTTGTTTAATTTGTGTAATGGTTTTTGTATATAAAAGTTTACAGTTTTATGTATATTTTTCTTGTGTAAAAAGGGATGTAATATGTGTGTTAAACCTCTGTATGTATTATCTGTGTATAGTGTGACAAGTGCTTTTTCTTTCTTTTGGATGTATTAATAAATCTTGCTGTGAAGTTAAAAAAATAAAAATAATTTAAAGGCCAAGCACTGATGGTTCATGCCTGTAATCCTAGCTATTCAGGTGGCTGAGATCTCAGGATCATAGTTGGAAGTCAGCTCAGACAAGAAAGTCTGTGAGGTGGGCGCCAATGGCTCACACCTGTAATCCTAGCTACTCAGGAGGCTGAGATCTGAAGATCCCGGTTCAAAGCCAGCCCAGGCAGGAAAGTCCCCGTGAGACTCTTATCTCCAATTAACCACCAGAAAACTGGAAGTGGTGCTGTGGCTCAAGTGGTAGAGTGCTAGCCTTGAGCTGAAGAGCACATGGACAGTGCCCAGGCCCAGAGTTCAAGCTCCACAACTGACAAAAAAAAAGTCTGTGAGACTGTTATCTGCAATTAGCCACCAAAAAGCCAGAAGTAGAGCTGTGGCTCAAGTGGTAGAATGCTTGCCTTGAGTAAAAGAAGCTCAGGGGCAGCACCCAGGCCCTGATTTCAACCAGTCAGAAATATGTTGAGAGTGTCACATAGGAATAAGGACATCAACTTGAAAGGAACTCAGCAAGACAGAGTTTACTTCTGCAGAAGAATGCACCATGAGACAAACCTCTGACCAGCAAGCACACAGAGTAGGCAGGCTGCTCCCTTTTTATCCCTAACACAGCAGGCTCCGCCCTTCTGCTCACATTGGCTAAGCTCAGGTTCACAATCTGCAAAAGGATGTGATGTAATTAAAGTTCAAGGAGCTTTTTAACCTGATTATTTATTTATTTATTTATTTTTGGGTCCGGTCGTGGGGCCTGAACTCTGGGCCTGGGCGCTGTCCCTAAGCTCTTCAGCTCAAGGCTAGTGCTCTACTACTTGAGCCACAGTGCCACTTCCAGCTTTTTTCTTTTTGCTTATGTAGTGCTGAGGAATCGAACCCAAGACCTCATGCATGCAAGGCAAGCACTCTACCACTGAGCCATCTTCCCAGCCCCTTAACCTGATTTTTTCAATTATAGTCCAGCAGGAAAAGGATGCATGTAACTAAAATGCAATTAACAAGGGCCAAGGCACTTGGTCAAAGCAGGAACTTTTCAGAAAAATAATTTTCTTAAGATTAACAGAAAGCCATTGTCCAAAGGAAAATTGAGTCATTACCTGACTTATGTAACTGTAACTCCTCTGTACATCACCTTTATAATAACAATTTTTTCTTAAAAAAAAAAAAGAGGGTCTGGGAAGGTGGCTCAGTGGTAGAGCGCTTGCCTTGCATGCCAGAGGCCCGGGGTTCGATTCCTCAGCACCATATAAGCAAAAAGAAAAATAGCTGGAAGTGGCACTGTGGCTCAAGTGGTAGAGCGCTAGCCTTGAGCTGAAGAGCTGAGGGACAGCACCCAGGCCCAGAGTTC